AGTATAGCCGACGGCACTAAACAAACATACACACATTGCATCAATGAAGCACAAATTAGTTTTCATCATCTAGGTTCTCAAGATCAACATATAGAATGGTTTCCTTTACCTCAAGTTTGGATTGGAAATACACGACAAAATCATCATTTCATCTTAGGACTTAATTTTATACTTAGTTTACAGGGCGGCATGTTTCTCAGCCAACACAACATTAGTTTCTTCAAGCGAACCGTACATACACTTACAGCATATGCCTTTAGCACCATAGCCCATTCATCAGAATTGCGTGCGAAGCGTGGTGGTACCATAGGAGTAGATTCCGTTCCCGCTAGTTTTTTATTTCCTAGTAGAAATATTTTTCCCGAGCAAGCCCAAAAATATATACCTGATGAGATAGCAAATACTTTTTTAGAAAATTTAGACATAGAAAATTATGAAGATCTAGAAGATTTTGAAGAAAAATGAGACTATTGGAATTTAGAAGATTTTCAACAAACAGTTAACCTAGAATTAATTTTTGCAAAAATAGGAAAATTAAAGAAAAAACCAGTATACAGAAGAACAGAAAATGATTTAGATGAGATAATAAGATTAGCTGAAACAACAGAAATTCTAGGAGAACAGCCCATGAAATATTGGGAAAGAAATAAAATTTTAGCCAGCTTAGACATAAAAAATAAAGATTATAGGATTACCTCAGCACAAATAGATCATACGCCAGCAGATATAGAAGAATTTAGAACACAGATTAAAGAGTTACTAGATTTAGGAGTAATTAGACCTAGTAATAGTCCGCATAGGAGCGCTGCATTTATGGTTAGAAATCATGCAGAGATAAAAAGAGGAAAAGCTAGAATGGTTATAAATTATAAAAGGTTAAATGACAATACAAAAGATGATAAATACAATATACCAGATAAAGATCAACTCATAAACAGAATACATACAACAAAAATATTTAGTAAATTTGATTGCAAGTCGGGATTTTGGCAGATAAAAATGGAGAAGAAAAGCATACCTTGGACAACCTTTTGTTGCCCACAAGGACATTACGAATGGCTAGTTATGCCTTTTGAACTAAAAAATGCACCTTCCATATTTCAGCGTAAGATGGATAGTATATTTAATAAATATAATTTTATACTGGTATACATAGATGACATATTAATATTCAGCCCAGATAAAAATAGTCACATAGATCATTTATACTTAGCATTAGAAGAATTCATAAACAATGGAATAATAATTAGCAAGAAAAAGATGGTATTAAATAAGCCACATATAGAATTTTTAGGAATGGAGTTAGGAGATGGAAAAATTAGGTTACAACCTCATATAGTCAAGAAAATCCTAGAATATCCAGATAAATTAGAAGATACAAAACAACTTTAATCATTTTTAGGAATCTTAAATTATGCACGAATGTATATTCCTAACCTTAGTAAAATAATAAGACCTCTATACAGTAAGACCACACCCACAGGACAAAAATATTTTAATCAACAAGATATAGCTCTAGTTAGAAAAATTAAAGACATTTGTAGAAATTTACCAGACCTACAACTTCCCTTAGAATCAGAATATATAGTCGTAGAAACAAACGCAAGTCAATTAGGATGGGGAACAATATTATTAGCTAAACATAGTAAATATGATAGTAAAAATAAAGAACGCATTTGCAGATATAGTTTTGGAAAATTTAAAGAAAAAGACACGACAATAACCAGCCTAGATTTTGAAATACTAGGAGTAGTATATGCAATAAATAAATTTAGATTATTTCTGCACAAATCTTTTACCATTAGAACAGATTGTGAAGCTATAGTTAGATTTCATAATAAACTTAACGAGCGTAAATTGAGTACTAGAAGATGGGCAAAATTTTTAGACTGTATAGTAGGACAAGGATATAAGGTAGAGTTTGAACATATTAAAGGGAGCGATAATAGGTTAACAGATTGGTTAAGTAGGAAAATTTATTTAGAAAAAGAAAATAACCAGTTTAATTTTTGTGTAGATAATGGAGAACAGCAAAACCATGAACTTTTGAGGATTTTCTCTTCCTATTCATGAAGGTAGAAACAAGTTTAGACCATTAACAGGAATAGACCTAGACCCAGTCCAACAGTGCCTTTTAGATAACCTTTGGGACAGTCAGAACCACCCAGCTAAACGTCTTTCAGCCTTAAACTCTCTCAGTAAATATTTTTCAAAGATTCAAAATAAACCTTTGTCAAAAAGTTTTTCTTTCTATGTAGTAGCTAAAGGAACCAAGCCTGGTATTTACCATGACTAGATAGAAGTAGAACCCTTAGTTAAAAATTTTCCCACACCCCAGTTTAAAGGATTTTATGATTTCGAGTCAGCTAGTACCTATGCCCGAAGACAAATAGGAACCAGCTATTTTATCAGTCAGATAGCTAAAGATTACCTGGACACATTAAGTAAGATGAGGTCAACCATTCTTGCTACTAGTGGAGTTCCAGTTAGCCAGATAATTGGAAGTAGTAGTTCTAACCCTCAGATAGATTCAGAAAATCCCCTCCAGATGTGTAGACATTGCGAAGGCCTTACCAGAAATTTCAAGAAAATTATGGATAAAGGCAAAAGGGTCAGTGAAGAGCTAGACCAGCTCTAAGACGAAGAAAAACAATTGAGAGCCACTATTCGAACCCTAACCAACTAGCTTAAAAAATTAGCTCAAGAAAAAACACCGACCTACTTACCTAGCCCAGAAATCAAACAACTCACCAGTGAGGAATTTGACCAATTGAGTGCTAGAATGTATTTCTTCAGGCATTCTATCATTCGATCTTTTTGTGAGAAAAACCAAGTAATGGAAGACCTAAAACCCTATATTTACACCTTAGCCGAAGATAGCAGAGATAGCGAGTTAGTTATTATTCAGCATTTTCTTTAGGACCTCTTCATAGCAAGAGTTGACTGCCCTGGCCTAGCTTATCAATGGACCTATATCTATGAAGATGAAGAGAAGCCATGTTTAGAAGAAGAAAAATGCAATAAGAGGTCCGAACATTTTGGTAGATGTCAGTGTAACCTAGACTTCAGCATTTGCCTTTGCCAGATAAATCTAGCTACATTCGAGCCATTGGAGATAGAGATTAAGGGTGAAACTCGTTATCTAACAGCCCCAAAATTGTTAGATTACGGCTTTGTCTCTAGACTAATTTTCACAGAACCAGATCAGACAGATAGCTTTGGACATAAGCTTGCTCATACAGTATTGTGTGTAATGGAAGAATATCATCCGTATGTAGAAGCATTGATAGATAGCAGATTACCAGAGTGGAAGGGAATATGGTGCAATCCAGCCAAACATAAAATGTACCGCTCGAGCGTCGAAAGTCACGCTCGAGCATTAAATACATATGCCCAGAAGTTCATGTGTTTTGCAGTCCGCTCGAGCGAGGTAATCCACCCTCGAGCGAGGGTCTGAGTCTCACGCTCGAGCGTGGGTCGAACGTCCATCGAGCGTGAAAAACATGCAACCAGTACTTTTTCAAGAGTTTTCAGTCCGCTCGAGCGAGGGAAGTCACGCTCGAGCAGAGCTTTATTGTCTGCATGTCCGCTCAAGCGGGAAAAGCCACGCTCGAGCATGGACCCTATTTTCAACAAGTTTTGAAAAATGTTTTCCAGCACATTTTTGCATCCTCATTCCATCCTAGGCATTCCTAGGCCATGTTAAGACTCCATAATGAGGATTAAAGGCTAGAAACACACTAAGAGCAATGAATTAAGTTATGTTCAGTTTGAGTGTGGGAATTCAATGTATGAATCTATCATGTTTTGTAGGTCACGCGCCTCGAGATAAGTGAATTGTCCACTTTGTCATCTAATTGGAGCTACCAATTATCTGTGAGTAAAAACTCTGTAAAGTTATGTTTAACTATGATTATTTTCTAATGATATGAGATGACAAGTTTTCTGAAATGCTAGTTTTGTGTGAATGAATGATTGTCCAATTTTCTTTGAAACGAAATTGTGGTATCCTTAGCAGAGGCCCTTACCCAGGGGACATAATATTGTGGCTTATGGTCATGAGGCCCTAGCCCGGGGGAAAGAATACCGTGGCCTAGGCCCTCGCCCGGGAGAAAGAATATCGTGGCCCAGGCCCTCGCCCGGGGGAAATAATACCGTGGCCTATGTATGAGATGTGTTACCTGATACCGGATGTTCCTTTATGGAACTTGATATGCTTGACCAAAAAGATATGTTTAAGTAAATAGGCGTACCACACATTATTGAATAAGGACAAGACTATGATTCTATTTCACTATCTGTTTATGATCCTGAATTGTTATGAGACAAGTTATGGACGCCATTCATTAAAGTCTTTACTTTGTTATTATTCACTGGGCTATCGCTTACTGTTTATATTATGTATGTAGGTAAGCAGGCACGTGACCAGGCCCAGAATTGACGGCCTAAGTTTCAGTTTTGTCAGCCAACCATTGTGCTTCCCGAGGAGGTTCCGATTGAAGTCAAGTTTCATGGTTATTTTTGTAAACATGATAGGCTATGTTCATATTATGTTGTGGTTGGTTAAAATGTCTGATATTGTAAGTTGGGAAATGATATGTAAGCTGTAACACTGTTATGAAGTTTCAAGTTATTTGTTTCATGTATGTCCGCACAGCTCTATGGACTATGTATGTTTTGATTATTTGCTTCCTCAGCCCCTGCTATATGTTATTATGCCAAGAGGCCTTTGGTAATCCAAGGATTACTGGCCGGTTACGATGCTAAACCCATAGGGGCAGGTTTGGGTCGTGACAGAGTGGTATCAGAGCATGAGTAATACCACACACACAAGTCCATATGAGCTTAAGGTGTCCTAGTGAAAAGTAGGGGCATCCCATCTGCATGTCTAAGTGTGTTGCTTGAAAGTGAAAGCATAATCCAAGTATAATCATGTGAATTTGAATAAAGTAACGATGACTATCTGCCTGTGTTTATAAAGTTTTGTTTACCTATAGCAAATGGACAATGCAAAAAGTGATGATACAGCAGGGTCCTCAGATGCCCGAATGAACAGAATAATACAACAACAGAGGCAACAACCTTTACCACCTCTACCACTGTTGGCTCAAGTTGAAATAGGCAACAGCGACATAATTAACATGACTCAGAAATTCATGAAGATGAAGCCGCCAACTTTCTTGGGTGGCATTGAACCACTAAAGGCAGAAACTTGGCTATTGGAGATGGAAAAATTATTTGAAGTGTTTCCCTGTTCCGAGGTTCATAAAGTTTTATTAGCCACCTACACTCTGAAAGATAAAGCTCGAAAATGGTGGTTACTAGTTCGGAATGGTAATGAGAATATGACATGGGCTCAATTCAATACAGTTTTCTATGACAAGTACTTTCTTCAGTGCTTCCGAGACCGGAAGGTTTCAGAATTCCAGGAACTCAAACAAGGCAGAATGTCTGTAGCCAAGTATGAGGCTAAGTTTACCGAGCTAGCCAGGTTTGCTCCTTACATGGTGGACACAGACTACAAGAAGGCCCGTAAGTTTGAGGGTGGGCTAGATTTAGATATATTGGATCAGGTGGGAGTTCTGAACCTACCCACATACGTGAATGTTTTGGATAGAGCACTGATGGCAGAAGTCATTCTGGCAGTGAAGAAACAAACTACAGTACCACCAACTGAATGGAAAGGCAAAAGGACCGGGTTTAATTTCAGGAAGGGCCGACCATTTTTAAAGAAACAAAACACAGGATCTTCTAGTAGTCCTAGTCAGAGTAGTGGGTCCGTAACAAACTGTCCAGAATGTGGCATGAGACATAGGAGAGTGTGCCAACGTGCATCTGGTGCTGTTACCAGTGTGGCAATGTTGGCCATATGATAAAAGATTGCCCAATGGGACCCGGGAATACCAGTCACCCCACAGCCAGTTCAGCATGGCCATATGATGAAAGATTGTCCAATGGGATCCAGGAATACCAGTCACCCCACAGCTAGTTCAGTAGGATCTGTTTTAGTGGCCAAATCAAACTTCAGAACTAATGCCAGGGGCAACAATGGGAATGAAGCATTGAGGCAAGGGAGAGTATTCGCCTTAGTGCCTGGAGATGTGCAAAACACTGAATCAGTAGTGTCAGGTATCATTTCTATCTGTGCTCAGAATGCATATGTGCTGATTGATTCTAGTTCCACACATTCATTCGTATCACATGCTTTTTCTTGGAAATTAACTAAACCGTTAGAACCTATGAACTGTTTGCTATCTGTATCTACACCATCTGGGGGTTCTATGATGTGTGCTTATGTTTATCCGGCATGTGATCTTATAATTGAAGAGATGACATTGTATGTTGATTTATTACCCTTGAACATCGCTTATTTTGATTGTATTCTGCGTATGGATTGGTTGACTAAGTATTGTGCCACCATTGATTGTGTGAATAAATCTGTTGTGTTTCGTCCACCCGGTATGCCTAAGTTTATTTTCACTAGGAATGGGGTAGTTCCACTACCATACTTGATTTCATTTATGAAAGCTAGAAAACGGTTAAGAAAGGGGTGTCAGGGTTATTTGTGTAGTGTGTTGACTGTATCTTCGGATAGTGCCAGTGTAGAAACTGTCCCTATGGTTTGCGATTTTCCTGATGTGTTTCCTAATGATCTACCTGGGGACTTGATCGATAGAGAGATAGAATTTACCATTGATGTAACACCTGGAACACATTCCATCTCCAAGACTCCATATAGGATGTTGACTTCTAAATTGAAAGAACTAAAAGTCCAACTTCAGGAACTCTTAGACAAGAAATTCATTCGTCCGAGTACCTCACCTTGGGGTGCTCCAGTGTTATTTGTCAAAAAGAAAGACGGATCCTTAAGACTCTGTATTGACTATCGGGAACTGAACAAGGTGACCATTAAAAATAAATATCCATTACCCCGAATAGATGATTTGTTTGATCAACTCCAAGGAGCTAGACTGTTCTCTAAAATTGATCTTCGATCCGGTTATCATCAGTTAAAGGTTAAAGCGGAAGACGTAGAGAAAACCGCATTCAAAACTAGATATGGACATTATGAATTTTTGGTAATGCCTTCTGGGGTAACAAATGCATCTGCAACTTTTATGGACCTAATGATTAGGGTTTTCAAACAATATCTTGATGAATTCATTGTTGTGTTTATTGATGACATTCTGATTTATTCTAAAGACAGGGAAGAACATGGGAACCATCTGAGAACTACTTTTCAGATTTTGAGAGAAAAGAAATTGTATGCTAAATTGTCCAAATGTGAATTCTGGCTTGACAATGTAGCATTTTTGGGACATGTAATCAATGAGGATGGTGTTTCTATTGACCCTCAGAAGATTAAAGCTATTGTGGATTAGCCTAAACCGACGAATGTAACAGAAGTTAGAAGTTTTCTGGGACTGGCTGGTTATTACAGGAGATTTGTGAAAGATTTCTCGAAGCTTGCAATGCCATTAACACAATTGACACAGAAGAATGTACAGTTTGACTGGAACGATCAACGTGAATCAGCCTTCCAATAATTGAAAACCAGGCTGGTGACTGCACCAATCCTAACCTTACCTAATGGTACTGATGGGTTTCAAATCTACAGTGATGCTTCGTATAAAGGGTTGGGTTGTGTACTGATGCAAAATGGGAAAGTAATTGCCTATGCTTCTCGATAACTTCACCCTCATGAAAAGAATTACCCGACTCATGACCTTGAACTGGCAGTTATGGTGTTTGCCTTGAAAATCTGGCGTCATTACTTGTATGGGGTAACTTGTGAAGTGTATACCGATCATAAAAGCTTGAAATATTTCTTCACCAAAAAAGAATTGAACATGAGACAAAGGCAATGGTTAGAACTGATCAAAGATTATGATTTGCAAATTTTGTATCACCCAGGGAAAGCTAATACCGTAGTAGATGCTTTGAGTCGTAAATCAATGGGAAATTTGTCTTGAAAATCTGGCGTCATTACTTGTATGGGGTAACTTGTGAAGTGTATACCGATCATAAAAGCTTGAAATATTTCTTCACCTAAAAAGAATTGAACATTAGACAGAGGCAATGGTTAGAACTGATCAAAGATTATGATTTGCAAATTTTGTATCACCTAGGGAAAGCTAATACCGTAGTAGATGCTTTGAGCCGTAAATCAATGGGAAATTTGTCATGTCTGCTTACCAGCCAGAGAGAACTGTTATATGACTTGGAAATGAATGAGATTGAGATTGTGATACATGAACAGGGCGGAATACTAGCCGCCATTTCTGCTCAGCCTGCAGTCATTGAATAAATCAAAGAAAAGCAACTTGAAGATGAATACTTAAAAAAGGTTGTAGAAGAACTTGATTCCAAGCCAAGGCCAGGGTTTATGTTTGAGAATAATGTGCTGAAATTTCAAAATCATTTTTGTGTACCTAATTGCTATGACTTGAGAAAGCATGTTATGTCTGAAGCCCACAATACTAAGTTTGCTATGCATCCGGGGAATACAAAGATGTACCATGATTTGAAACAAAATTTCTAGTGGCCCAGAATGAAAAAGTGTATCGCAGATTTTGCGACTAGATGTCTACATTGTCAATTGGTCAAAGCTGAACATCAACGACCCGCCAGTTTGTTACAGCCGCTTCCAATACCAGAATGGAAATAGGAGCATATCACCATGGATTTCATTGTGGGATTACCTCGCTCTTCTCAAGGTATGGATTCTATTTGGGTTATAGTTGATCATTTGACTAAGTCTGCTCATTTTCTGCCTGCTAAGACTATTTATAATGCGGATAAATTGGCTAACATGTATGTGAATGAGATTGCGAGATTGTATGGTGTACCGGTATCTATTGTATCTGACAGAGATTTGAAGTTTACATCGAGGTTCTGGCAAAGTTTACAATAGGCCTTGGGGATAGAATTGAGGTTGAGTAGTGCCTATCACCCACAAATAGATGGGCAGACAGAGCAGACAAATCAAACCTTGGAAGATATGCTTAGAATGTGTGTATTAGATTTCCAAGGGAATTGGGAGACTTATTTGCCATTAGCTGAGTTTGTGTATAACAACAGTTACCATTCAAGCATTGGAAATGGCTCCTTATGAAGCTTTGTATGGAAGAAAGTGCCGATCTCCGGTATGTTGGGCTGAAGTAGGCGACAGACCATTTTTGGGACCGGAACTTGTGCAAGAAACCATTGGAAATGTGAAGTTAATTCAGCAACGGTTGAAAACTGCTCAAAGCTGGCAAAAGAGTAATGCCGATATTCGAAGAAGAGACAGGGAATATGAAGTTGGGGATCATGTATTTATAAAAGTGACCCCTACGAGATTTGTTGGGCCGTATGAAATCCTTGAAAAGATCAGCCCGGTAAGTTATCGAGTGGCTCTACCTCTAGTAATGGAGCATATGCACAATGTTTTTCATGTCTCTATGCTTCGGGAGTATTTGAGAGATCCACTACACGTGATTGAGCTGACTCACATTCTTTTGAAGGATGATTATACTTATAAGGAAAGGCCTATTCAGATTGTGAATCGAAGTTTAAAAAGATTAAGAAATAAAGAAATCCCGTTAGTGAAGGTGGATTGGAAGAATCATGGGGGAACTTATGCAACTTGGGAGACAGAAGAAGACATGATGAAAAGATACCCTGAACTGTTTCCTTTAAATCCAGTGTTCTTTCAGAATGAAGGTAACTCAAGTTTGGAGGACCAAACTCTTTAAGGGGGGACGACTGTAACAACCCCGACCCTTAATTAACGTTAATTCATGTTTAAGTGTGCTTAACAAGTGATTAAGAAGAAATCATGAGTTAATGACATGTCTGTTGCATTATTAATGTGTCTCTATCTGTTTAGCGTAGAAAGATCTGTTTATGTTTTAGTTTCGATTTGCGAATTGAAGGCCTTATCGGCATCCGATACAGAAATTGATTTGATTTAAATGTCCATCAGGATTTATAGGATTTTATGGTAGGTTTAATTTAAATTCGATTTGGGATGATTAAATTAGAATAAATAAGGTTGAATTATTTGAATCCAAATTAATTACAAGTGCGCCATTGAGTGGGCTTATACAAATTGTTGCACACCTTATACATATTTTGACTTGTCATTTTCCATCCTCAAGACCCAAAACGTGAGAGAGAGTGAAGAAGTAAGAATTGGCTCAAAACTTAAAGAATTTGGGGCTCAAATTATAGGATGCTAAGAATTGTTGTCATTGATAAAGATTTAAGAGTTTTGACTTCAACCATTGTAGATTCAAGCCTCTAGGTAAGGGACTAAACTCTAAATTGAGTAATTGAGTTAGATTCTACAAGATTATTGATGAATTAAGTAAATTCATGGTAGAATTTGTAACGCCCTCAAAATAATAACATAAAACCCATCAGATAAGACATGCATATACATATAAACTAACCACATTCCTTTATTTCATTGAGTTCCGTTACATAAGTATTACATGTTAGGTGGATTGGAAGAATCATGGGGGAACTTATGCAACTTGGGAGACAGAAGAAGACATGATGAAAAGATACCCTGAACTGTTTCCTTTAAATCCAGTGTTCTTTCAGAATGAAGGTAACTCAAGTTTGGAGGACCAAACTCTTTAAGGGGGGAAGACTGTAACAACCCCGACCCTTAATTAACGTTAATTCATGTTTAAGTGTGCTTAACAAGTGATAAAGAAGAAATCATGAGTTAATGTCATGTCTGTTGCATTATTAATGTGTCTCTATCTGTTTAGCGTAGAAAGATCTGTTTATGTTTTAATTTCGATTTGCGAATTGAAGGCCTTATCGGCATCCGATACAGAAATTGATTTGATTTAAATGTCCATCAGGATTTATAGGATTTTATGGTAGGTTTAATTTAAATTCGATTTGGGATGATTAAATTAGAATAAATAAGGTTGAATTATTTGAATCCAAATTAATTACAAGTGCGCCATTGAGTGGGCTTATACAAATTGTTGCACACCTTATACATATTTTGACTTGTCATTTTCCGTCCTCAAGACCCAAAACGTGAGAGAGAGTGAAGAAGTAAGAATTGGCTCAAAACTTAAAGAATTTGGGGCTCAAATTATAGGATGCTAGGAATTGTTGTCATTGATAAAGATTTAAGAGTTTTGACTATAACTCAAATACAAAGTAAGAAAGGATGCAAACAAGATAATAAACAACTACCAACATCCACGGACACCTGTCCGGATCACTATACAACAAGGGTAAACCCGGGATCGCTATAGAATTGCATTAGAGTTGGGGGAATTGGGCCATACCATACATGCATGTGCAATTCTTCACAATTTGAGCATAACTTCAAAAGATTCTTTCATGAATGTATTTATTTCATCTATGTTTTGAGAATTCATCATGTTTTCTATCAAATTTCCAAATTTAATCTTGGTTTGAAGTGTTTGCACTTAAGGGAGGTCATGCATGTTGTATTTATGTTTTATTCATGAAGTTTTAGTTGGAATTGTGTTCAATTGGCATGCCTTTGGGCCATGGTTTCTTGAAATATCTTTAATTCATGTTGCTTTAGGGTCTTCATGTATTTTTTCTCAAGTTTTGGCCCAGAAAAATCAAGTGTGAAGCTTTAAAGGTTGAGTTTTGTGCTTGAGGATCAATCTGGAAATTCTAGACTTTTGATCCACGCTCGAGCAGAGAACTTCACACTCGAGCGTACAGTCTGAGTACATGCATTTCCGCTCGAGCGTCAAGAGTCACGCTCGAGCGTTAAATGCATATGCCCAGAAGTTCATGTGTTTTGTAGTCCGCTTGAGCGAGAGTCTGAGTCTCACACTCGAGCGTGGGTCGAGCATCCATCGAGCGTGAAAAACATGCAACCAGTACTTTTTCAAGAGTTTTCAGTCCGCTTAAGCGAGGGAAGTCACGCTCGAGCGGAGCTTCATTGTCTGCATGTCCGCTCGAGCAGGAAAAGCCATGCTCGAGCGTGGACCCTATTTTCAGCAAGTTTTGAAAAATGTTTTCTAGTACATTTTTGTATTCTCATTCCATCCTAGGCATTCCTAGGCCATGTTAAGACTCCATAATGAGGATTAAAGGCTAAAAACACACTAAGAGCAATGAATTAAGTTATGTTCAGTTTGAGTGTGGGAATTCAATGTATGAATCTATCATGTTATGTTGGTCACGCGCCTCGAGAAAAGTGAATTGCCCACTTTGTCATCTAATTGGAGCTACTAATTATCTGTGAGTAAAAACTCTGTAAAGTTATGTTTAACTATGATTATTTTCTGATGATATGAGATGACAAGTTTCTGAAATGCTATGTTTTGTGTGAATGAATGATTGTCTAATTTTCTTTGAAACGAAATTGTGGTATCCTTAGCAGAGGCCCTCGTCTAGGGGACATAATTCTGTGGCTTATGGTCATGAGGCCCTAGCCTGGGGGAAAGAATACCGTGGCCCAAGCCCTCGCCCGGGGGAAAGAATATCGTGGCCCAGGCCCTCACCCGGGGGAAACAATACCATGGCCCAGGCCCTCGCCCGGGGGAAATAATACCGTGGCCCATGTATGAGATGTGTTACCCGGTACCGGAGGTTCCTTTATGGAACTTGACATGCTTGACCAAAAAGATATGTTCAAGTAAATGGACGTACCACACATGATTGAATAAGGACAAGACTATGATTCTATTTCACTATTTGTTTATGATCCTGAATTGTTATGAGACAAGTTATAGGCATCATTCATTAAAGTCTTTACTTTGTTATTATTCACTGGGTTGTCGCTCACTGTTTATATTATGTATATAGGTGAGCAGGTATGTGACCAGGCCCAGAATTGACGGCCTAAGTTTCAGTTTTGTCAGCCAACCATTGTGTCTCCCGAGGAGGTTCCGATTGAAGTCAAGTTTCATGGCTGTTTTTGTAAACATGATAGGCTATGTTTATACTATGTTGTGGTTGGTTAAAATGTTTGATATTGTAAGTTGGGAAATGATGTGTAAGCTGTAACACTGTTATGAAGTTTCAAGTTATCTGTTTCATGTATGTCCACACAGCTCTATGGACTATGTATGTCTTGATTATTTGCTTTCGCAGCCCCTGCTATATGTTATTATGCCAAGAGGCCTTTGGTAATCCAAGGATTACTGGCCGGTTACAATGCTAAACCCATAGGGGCAGGTTTGGGTCGTGACAAAAGTGTCTTCTAAGTTAGATTGTTTTGGTATTTTAAATATTTTACTGAGATTCATTTTATCTTCTAAAATATCATCTACATATTTAGTATGAAATTCTTGGTCTAAAAATGACACT